GTTCACACCCCTTGGTGCGGCCCCCGCCCCTCGCTCAACCAGTGAGCGGGAACCGGTCTGTATGTGGGATCCGAACCCTCGGGCGGGAGCGCCGCCGTGCTTCCCAAGCGGCGCACTTATCCAGTGCGCCACCGGGCCGGCCCCTGGGTTCCATTTAATTTAAGAGATTTGGGGCTGGCCAGTTAGCTCAGCTGGTTAGAAGGCAGTGTTGTAACACCAAGGTCAAGGGTTCAGATACCCATAACAGCCAGCTGCCAAAAAAATTGGGCCGGCCCAGTGGCGCACTGGATAGTGCGCTGCTTGGGAAGCGCGGCGGCGCTCCCACCGGAGGGTTCGGATCCCACATACAGACCGGTTCCCGCTCACTGGCTGAGCGAGGCGCGGGAGCAACACCAAGGGTTGCGATCCCGTTGCCGGTCCCCGGTCCGGTACGGGGGTGACACTGAGGGTTGCGATCCGTTGCCGGACACGGAAAAAGACAAAAGACAAAAAAAAAAAAAATAATAATAATAATAATAATAATATCAGAGATTTGGACCTTCACAAGGCTTTATGGTTTAAAAATGTACACCTATTCTGATGACCACTAATAATAACAATAACAACAGCTACAACTACCATTTATTGAGTAGGTGTCCCGCCCTCTTCTAAATGTTTTTCATAGCTTATTTCATTTGGTCTTTACGATGCCTATAACACACATAATATCCTTGTACCCATTTTAGAGATGAGGACATTGAGGCTCACAGATGTTAGGTGACTTGTCCAAGATCCAGCTAGGATTTGAACCCTGGTCTGCTGATTCTTTGGAAAACACATGCCTGACTGGAGGTCTCAGTACAACCATCCAGCTGGAACACTCCACCCCCTCCTCATCTGTGCACCCCCACCCTCTCCACCCCACCCCCGTGCTGAAGGTGCTGTGGCCAGGCTGCAAACTCTGGAAGTCTGGAAGCGTGCTGAGGAGAGAGGCTGCCAGGTGTGTTTTCAGCTCTGTGGCAGCCAAGAAAAGGGGTCCTTTCTGCTCTTCTCCCCAGATCATCTACCTGCGGCAGTTCAAGTGCCTGCGGACGCTCAGCCTCTCTGGGAACCCCATGGCTGAGGCAGAGGATTACAAGATGTTCATCTGTGCCTACCTTCCTGACCTCGTGTACCTGGACTTCCGGCGCATCGATGACCACATGGCAAGTGTCTCCCTCTCGGTCTCCCAGACCTGTGAGATGGAGTCTTCAGGCCCTCGGTTTCATGGAGAAGGAGCATTGAGGGTTAGCTTCCCCAACCACAACTAGGAGGAGAGAAAGGGGGCTCCCTCCTCCCAAGTCCCTTCCCTGCCTCTGTCAGAGGATTCCAGCAGCACCCTCAGGGCTACTGTTTCCTGCCTGCTCCCTGCCGCTGGCCCCTCCTGTGCCTTGTCTCACGGCCACTTCACAACCATCGTCTGCTTTTCCAGATGAAATTGAGAAGGCTAAAGGAGGGACAACAGTAAGCCAGGATCACTGGCTCATGGCAAGCCACATTCACCCCAAGTCTGTGTGACCCCAGGAGCAATGTTAGCAGCTAACTGTTGCCGAGCATTTACGTGCCAGGCACACGCACCGCTTCACACTGTCTTCACACACACCATGAGGCAGGCCCTGCCCTCACCCCTGGCCTTCCAGTGGAGAAACCGACACACGAGGGAGATGACTTGCCTGGGGGCTCACAGCCAGTGGTGGTCAGGCTGGGAGCTGGACCAGGAGTCCAGCAGCAGAGCTTGTGCTTCCAGCCTGGTGCTGGGCTAGCCTGGCAGAGAGGGTCTTTCCTCTGTCCACTGCTGCCTCTGTCCCCACCCCCCCACCATGAGTTGGTCCCCTTTCACCTTCCACTCACTCTTTGCAGTGTGATCAGTTAGTGGGTACTTTTGCCTTTGGAGAAGAAGAGAAAGAGAATCTGGCCCAATTTGTGAGGCTTTTAGTGGCAGGATTGGGGCATCCCTGCATGTTAGGTGCTGGGGAGACCGAAGGCTGTTTGAGCTACCCACTCTATCTCCCAGAAGCTGGTGTCTTTCCTGGGAGAAAGGAACCTGTGTTTGGGAGCACTCAGGTGATTTAGCACCCAGGAGAGGCCATCCCAAGCAGGGAGGAGGACTAGGTGCCACGTCTCAACCCTGACCTCCCATGGCCTGGACCACCAAGCAGCCCAGCCCCAGATGGACCAAGTGTAGAGTCTTCCCCTTGCCACCCTCTTTGGAGACTCACAGAGGTGATGTGGGGCCAGAGAATTGACCCCCTCTGACCAGGGGCTTTCTCTCATCCTATAACCGTACAAGAATCTGAGATTTTGAATTCTATGACTTTAAAGTCTTATTTTTTTTTTCCTTCATTTAGACAATAATTTGCAAAGCAACATGGGCTCAAATGCTTAGACTAGGCCAAAGGCCCGTTTGGGTGTGTTCTGCTCATTACAGTCCCAAAGCATCTTACCAGGAGTTCTCTCCTGGGTCCTCAGGAATTCCTGTCCAGGGCAGGTAGCACAGCCTGGGCATCCCCACTGCACTGCGAGCAAAGGAGGATACTTTCATGATTCAGAGACTTGCCTAGCATTATCAAGATAAATAATAAGCCTAAGATCGTAAAAACAGAGTTCTGCATAGCAGGGGCACCTGAAACTCCTATGTCCACATGACTGTCTGACCTGGGTCCAGCCACAGCCTACCCCTGGCCTCTTGGTGCTGAAGGAATTGGGCAGCAGGACAGCAGGCCCAGCACAGGCTGACCAGGGGCAGAGGGCAGGCTCTTGGGGTGTCCCAGCTCCGTGAATTCCCAGCTCCCTAATTTCACTTAGACTCAGAATACCTGGAAAGGGTTGTAAGGAGATGGGCCATTCTCATCCACAAGACCTCACAGCTTTCCCAGCCTTCATGAAGGGGACCCATCTAACACCCTTGCCCATGCTCAGAAGGCTACAGGATGGCCCGGGTCAGTGTGGCCTGGAGGGACTGAATGTCCTCTGGTAACAATGCCACTTCCCATTCTCTGGTCAGAAGGAGCTGGCAAAGATGAAGCACCAGTACAGCATTGATGAGCTGAAGCACCGGGAGGACCTGTTGCAGGTCCAGCTGGAGGACAAGCAGGCCCGACGGGAGGAGCTGGAGGCTCACAAGGTACTCCTTTGAGGGAGGCTGGCACATCTCCAGCCCCCAAGATGCCCATGAGAGGGCACCAATTGAATTAAACAAAGGTCTGCAGGGACCCCCAGGCCCCCAAAACACATAAATCATGATCTACCCAGAGGGCCTGACACACCCTCCTGCCTCGCTCTGGCCTGCTACCTACCCCCAGGGTTGGCTCCCTCTAAGTCCAGACCCTGGTCCCCCAGCTCCTCACTGGCATCCCTGCCTCCAGTTCACAGGGCTGGAGAGGTCATTTTAAAAACAGCCTGCCAGAGTGGCTCCTTTTCTTAAAACCCTTAGGCGGATCCCCAAGGCACACCCGGAGCAGTTCAAGTCCCTTAGTCCAGCATGGGCCTGAATTCATGACCGGGCCCCCACCCACCATCCCGCAGCCAGACTGAGCTACATGTAACTTTCTGGAAGCAGCCTACAGTTTTATGCCTCTGCACCTCCTCACATGCCATTCCCTTTGCCTGGAACACCCCGCCCCCACCTGCCTTCCTCAGAAAAGACTGAGCACAGCTCCCCTCCTCCATGAAGCCTTCACCAGCCCCAGTGCCCAGTGCAGGGCCCCCTGCCTCGTGTGCCCTCCCAGGGGCCTGCGAGATGAAGCAGGGGCCCGGCTCCAGTGGCCACAACTGGGTGTATCTCTGCCTGCAGAGTGCGTTCATCGAGCACCTGAATGGCTCCTTCCTGTTTGACAGCATGTGCGCTGAGGACGTGGAGGGCAGCAAGCTGTCCCACCTGCCTGGTGTCAGCGAGCTCCTTGAGGCATATCCTTCCGAGTTCATGGTAGCCTCCTCAGGCAGAGCCTGGTCCCTGTGCCATTAGCCTGCCTTGGACATGTCCCTCGCTGCCCTGGGCCTCAGTTTCCCCATCTCTCTTGTGAGACCCTGGGAAATAAAATCCCACTTGAGAACAGTGTACCCAAGAGGCAGCTCATTGCCAGGTCAGCTGAGCTTCATGGGGGAAATACTGTCTAGATTTCAGAGACACATGGTGGGCATGTCGCCTTGGCAGTGCTCGGAAAGCCAGCTTTTCAGATGTGGAGAAATTGGTTAAAGTGCACATCTGTGGCAGTAATCTTCAGTAGCCGTACTTACTTGTTCCTGAGTGCGGTTGCATACAGTATTTATCATTTTCTCCACCACTCCACCCGATGGGTGCCATTACTAACCCGTCCTATAGTCGGGGAAGCCAAGCTTGGAGAGGCTAAGTGGCCTACCCAAGGCCAAGCCGTTAGAAGCCAGGACTTGAACTCTCGTCTGCGGGGCCTGAGAGCCTGCATTCTTCCCCCCAGAGGATGTGGGTGGCACTTGTCAACATGTCTGTGACTGTGACAGCCAATCCATGGGCTTAAATTGTGAGCTGAGGAGTTCCTGGATCTGAGTGCTCTGGGATGGGTCTGTGGAGCCGCTGTCTCGGAAATGCAGGATGAGCAGCGAGGGACAGTGAAGAGGAGGGGCTTTGGCCCCCACGGACAGGGCTCCCAGCCTGGCCTGGCCACCCGTCAGCTGGGTCACCTGCTTTGCCTTGCAGCTGTAGCACTGTATGGCCATATGACTTTGGGCAAGTCATTGCATCTCCCTGAGCATTGGTTTCTATCCCCACAGGATCACCCATAGCCCTGTGGGCTTTTCCTGCCTGACCCCAAGGACTCCTCCCAAGGACTCCCTGTGGCAGGTTCTGTTGTACCCTAAGCTGCAAATGAGGAAAATGAGGCAGGAGAGGTGAAGTGGCTTGCCAGGGTGGAGTGAGACAGAGCCAGGACTTGACCTGGGATCTGTCTGCTTCAACGCTGTCAGCTCAGCTTCAGCTGCAGCTGCTGAGTACCAAGACAGGCCTTCAACATAGGTGCCCTTCTAGACCCACCAGAGACAAAACCGCACACTCCCTGGGCTCCCAGCCCCTCCCTGGCCCTTCCAGGACGCCCAGGAGTCTCCTCTGGGGCCTTTCGTATTAGCACGTCTCTCCTCTGCTCTGTACACTCTTCCCACGGCCCCGCCTCCTTCCCCCTTGCAGGCCACAGTCCTAAATCTCTCAGGCTGAGGGGTGGAAAGCCACCACCTTATACTCCAGATGTCACATCCCAGCTCTCCGGGCCCTCCACACACAGAATCAAGCACGCAGTCTGCTCTCTGCACTGAGAGGTACCAGCACCTTTGTCGTGACCTCCCAGCAGCCTGCTCCCAAGACAGCCAAAAGTTTCCTTAACAGCCACTCACCTACAAAGACAAATTTGTCATCATCTGCCTGAACATTTTTGAGTATGGCCTGAAACAGCAGGAGAAGCGGAAAACAGAGCTTGACACCTTAAATGAGTGCATCCATGAGGCCATCCAGGAAAACCAAGAGCAGGGCAAACAGAAGATTGCCAAATTTGAGGAGAAGCACCTGCTGGTAGGCCTGCACCTCCCAAGTTTTTCCCCTGCCTCCTGCTCTAGAGTGCCGAACCCCACAGAGGAGGGGCTCTGAGGCCCGTGGTCATTGTCCCATTGGCCAGGGATCACACAGCTAATAACTACAGAGCCAAGGTCCACCTTATCCCAGCACAACCTCTGCTTTGCCCCTCACGGTTCGTCAGCCCACTTCCCCTGGGTGACAGAGCCACAAAGGATTACTCAAAGCCCATCTCTTCTGAGCAGTGAGAGACCCCAAAGTGGTTAATCTCCCCCAGAACCTTCAAGCGAGAGGCATCCCTTCCTTGGGAAATTAACCCCGAATTGGTCTTCTCTTCCTGCATTTATTCTCCAGACCAGGAAGTTACAGGAAGACAACATAGGTGGGGTTATAGTTTAACAATATAGACTGGTAACTTGCAGTGAAACAAGCCAGATGACATTCCCGTAAGGCAATTAAGTGGCCCTATCAACACAAGCTTGATCTTAGCAAACATTCCTTCTCCCTCCAGAAATTTCCGGTATCTACACATATCAATTAGTAACCTGTCTGTCCTTGAGCCAGCAACCTTGCTGTGCCACAAATCTTTAGCTTACACCAGAGACTTTATAGCCTGAGGAAAATTTCCAGTCCTCCACAGGTCAATATTTGAAACTGCAAGGCTTTGGAAAACCAGGCCCTGTGAAGTACATTTGCTTTAAGAATCCTCTATAACCACCAACCACAGTCCCCCATTCACAGTCCTTCATAAGGACTGAGCCAAGCATGGGGCCTGTGGATCTCTGTCATATAAAATGCCCTTGGGGTTCAAGGTCATCCCCATCCCCACTGCCTTATCATCACCATTACTATGAGTAATCGTATTAGTACTATCACTACTATTACAGTGACGATGACAGCTCCTGCTGTTTTCTTTTGTTGGTTCGTTCAACTTTTTCTTAGTCCCCACTCTGCCCAGCCCTGGCTGCACGTGGTTCCTGCCCTTGTGGGGCTCAGACCCAGGCCCTCCCCACCTGACGAAGCAGAGTGCTCAGCGCTGTTCTGCAGGGAAGTTTCCCTGGGTGCTCCTTAACTCAGGCTGAGGAGTTTTGAGAAGGTTGAGGCTTACAGGACAAAGAAGAGTTGGCCGGGGATGGTGGGGTAGGACATTGCAGCCGAGGGAGCAGCAAAGGTAAAGGCCTGACATTTGGGACCCAGCTAACCAGGCCACTGGGCCCAGCCCAAGCAGGGGCCATTGGAAAGGGTACCCGTCTTTGTACTTGGTGGGAATTGTTTCTTTCAGTTAGCATTACTTTTAGAGACAGGATTCTTAGCCTGTTCTATACTACAGATCTTATGAGACTCTAAGGAATGCTGTAGGCTTTCTTTCTCCTCAAACACTGTTCACACACACCAAGTTTGTCTTCAGCGTCAGCAGCCTCAAGGAGCCCATAAAGCCATTCCTAGTTGAGAACTTAGTTTAAAAGCAGAGCAAAATCCCCTGATAATGCAATGTGTAGGACTTCCATGTGCTTCCCAGCTCCCCATGCCCCCAGCCCCATTCTTGTCTCATTAGCGGGCCCTCACCTTCTGTGTGATTCAATTCTTGAGCCCCTCCTTATTATGTTATATGGAGGGGTGTCACTGCATTCAACCAGAAGTTCAAAACTGTCAGCAGAGGAACACATTTGGCCCACATATGTGTTTTATTTGGCCCACAGAGGGTTTAAAAACATTCAAACATCCTGCTAACATTAGAAACAGGAAGATTTCACAGAAAAATTCTGGTTGCCAGCTTCTCTGGAGGCACTTATCATCAGGGCCTGAGGGTGGGTGTTCCCTCAGGACAGGCCATGTCTCCAGTCTCCTAATGCCTGTCCAGCCACTCCCACGCTGACATTTCTTACCTGATCTCTGTAGCCATTGGGTTTGGAATGCCTGGACATCAGCCATCTGGCTCCTCCTGAAGCCTGGCATGGGGGTCCGGCCCCCTCAGCGACAAGTCCCTCTGGAGAAGCAGGACGTGGGCCTGGCCAAGCCTGACTTCCCGGGTTGGGGTGTATGCCTTCAGAGCGGGCAGCTCCTCCAAGGTCACCTCGAGGGCTGACTAGGCCAAGCACTCCCCTGCTAGAGTGGAGAGCAGTGGATCTCCCCTCTTAGTCTGTGTGGCCTGGAAACATGCCCACGGGCACCTGCTGAGGTGGTTTGAGGTGTGACCTGGCACTGGGATTGCTCAGAGTTCTCCAGGTGCTTCCAATGTTCAGCTTAAGTTGAGGCTACTGTCTTGGAAGTTCTCAACACCCTGTGGGCCTTGAGGGCCCCCCGTTTCCTCCCCTGCCAGGCCCTCTCCTATGGCTTTGTCTCGTACTCCACCCACCCACCCCCACTAGGCCTCGACATCGCACACAGCGCCCTGCTCCTGGTGCCCAGAGGGGCACATCTGAGGTTACACTACAGGGTAAGGCAGACCCCTCACTGGTGACCCAGAGACACATCATTGGCCCTCTCCTAGCCTCCATTTTTCTCATTTGCAAAACAGAGATAAGCACGATGCAGAGTGCTGGTGAGGAAGCAGTGAGGCCTAGAGCAGAGTCAGCGCAGAACAATGACGGATGGGCCAGGCTGACTTCTGAATAGGTGGCACATGCCCATGGCACAGAACAAAAAGTGTCTACAAGGGGATACCATCAGTCTCCCTCCCACCCCTGCTTCATGTTTTTTTAATAGCTGTAAAATATCTCATTGCACTGATGAGCCACACTTTATTTAGCCAGTCCCTGTTGATGGACAGTTAGGTTTTTTCCCATCCTTTTGCTCTTTCAGTGTTGGAATGAACAAGTTGTTGCACATTTGACCTGTAGGATGAAGTCCTAGAAGGCGGAACTGTACGCTGGTACTTTTGATGGTTGTTACCCAGCTGCATCCCACAGAGCCTGTACCTCCCACAGCCCTTGTCAGGCCAGCGTCACAAGCTTTCCCATCTTTGCAGTCTGGGGAACCCTGGGTATGTGTTTATTTTCTCCTAAGTAGGGAGAGCAGCAACGTTTTACAACTATCTACATTTCTTACTATGTGAACTGTTTGTCCTCCTATCTTGCCCTTGCCCATTTTTGTATTTGGTTTTTTGGCCTTTCTTTCAAGTTATTATTTTGTAGGAACTCTTTATAGGTGGAAATATTAGCTTGTGTTAGTAAAATGAATGCAAGTATTTCCGCCAGTTTATTGTTTATCCTGCCATTTTGTCTATGGTGCTTTTGTCATTCAGAATTAAAATTTTTTTATGTAGTAGAATTTATCAATCTTTTTTTCTGGTTATACTTGGAAAGGACAACCTCCACTCTGAGATTTTTTAAATTCTCCATGTTTTCCTATAGCACTTTTATGGTTTTATTTTTTACATTTGACTCTTCACTCCATTGGGAATTTGTTTTCACATAGAGCTTGAGACAGGGATCAAGCCTGGCAGCCCTTGTCATTAATATCATCGATCCCACTGAATCATGCTCCTTCCTCCTTCATGACTAATACCAAGTATCGACAAAAACAGGTTGAAATTGCATCAGCTGTTGGTCGTCCTGCCAGGCCCTTGCTGGTGACCAGCTGGTGTTCAGTGCCCAGGCTGCTGTCCAGTCTGTGAGCACCCTCTCTCCCTGAATGATTAGCATTTGTTCACCACCGGCTTCCACTTGCTCACTGGGGTTCTGTGTGGGTTCAATTGGTTTCCTCAAAGACTACAACTCTCTTTCCTTTCCAGTGACTCTCCCAACCTGTGCCTTGTTCCAGGCCTTTTATTGGAGCCTCCATGAATCGAGCCCCCACTGTGTGCAGGCGCCTTACGTGCATGGCCTCTGATCCCCGAGACCTGTGGAAGCACACATTCTTCTCCCCCTTTACAGTGAGGAAAGCAAAGCTTAGAGAACGAAAGTTGCTCTCTCAAGGTCACACTGCCAGTAAGTGAGCCAGGCAGGATCCAAACTCAGCTCCACCTGACTCTGAAGTTGTAGGGCAGGAAAAACTTCTCCTCTACACTATTAGGGTCTCCAACTAGGACCAAGAATTAAACTGAGATAGGACGGATTAATAGGAGAAAATCATACAAATTTCATTTAGTGATTTTTACATGTACCTGGGAGCACTCACAAGGGAAATGAAGACCCAAAGAAGCAGTTAGGGGCAAAGACTTATGAGACTGGACAAAGAACTGGAAATTGATACATTGTGGAAATATGACCAAACAAAGGGGTTGGGCTAGTTCACTGTGGAGAAGTGACTGGGTCAATTGTTTAAACAAGGCTTGTTTGCACAGATTTCCCTCGGCCCTGACTCCCCATCTCTGGTGATAAGAACGTTCTCCTTCCTCCTGGCACAGGGAGGGCACTTTTCACATGGGAGCTTCATCTCCTGCTTTCAGGAAGAAAAGGGGGATATGTCAGAGTGCCCTTCTTGCATCTGCTGTTTTTAAGTGTCTTTAACTCAATCAGTATGCCAACATGGCATATTTTGGGGTGGCATGCTCTGCACCTGTCACAGCCATTGCTCCTTCTACCTGGCTGGCAGCCACTAATAAAAACCTAAGCTAACGGACTGAGCACTTGCTAATGCTCTAAGAGCCTCCTCACATGTGTTTTCTTACCTGCAGTGAGGCAGGGGCTATCATCCTCACTTTACAGACCAGGACGCTGAGGCCTGGAGAGGGTAAGTAGCTTCTACAAGCTCACAGAGCTTGCAAATGGCAGAGCTGGACTCGAACTTGAGCACTTTGACTCAGAGTCCAAGTTCTGACCCATAAAACTAGATTGCCGCCTGCCATTTAACTAACTACACTTAGATGTTGATTTCTAAAGCTATGGCTTTTGCTTCCAGAATTTAAGTGCTATTCGAGAGGAGTCCGAACTGCCCAACATTGAGAAGAAGATCAGAGAGTGCAGCGAAGACATCACTGAGCTGTCCAACACGCTCATGATGCTGGAGATGCAGTTGGTGGAGCAGCTGGAGGTGAGGCCGGCCGCAGGGCGCAGAGGCGAGAACCCGGCGATGCAGCTGCAGCCTTCACGGTGCGCCTGTTGGAAACGTCCAGTGAGGCTCAGCATGTCAGACTGAAGCGTTCTCGCTCATCGGTCCTGGGTTTGCTTTTAGTACATTTTAATAATTTAGATTGGAAGTGATTCTTGTGGAGATTGAGAGGTGAGCTCTCTTCTCTGGAATGTTCCCCCCATCCTGGGAGAGTCCAGAACCTCAGCAGGGAGAGGTTTTTGATTAGACTCCAGGAGCTTTCGGGGTGCTCACAAGACAAAGTGGACCCCCACTCGGGGACCAAACAAAGGCTCCTCTGCATTGCCGCCTGTAGTTGCCACCTCTTGGGCGATGTGAGGACCCAAAACTCAGCACTATGCAGTGGAAATGAAAAGCACTGCTGTCTCAAATTCCTTTGCAGCTGGGGTGGCAAGTGTGTTCACAAGGCAGCGAGGCCTGGAGTCTGAAGTGGCGTGATGAATCAAACCTCATCAAATGCTGCAGTGGCTGGGCCAAGAGATAGCGTCTAATCAATTCCTCACATGTAAAGTGACACCTCAGACGTGGGATAGATTGCCCCTCCCATCACATGTCAGGTGCTCACTCCCTGATGGGGAGTGCTCAAGCCCTGCAGAGGCAGTGCGTAGTGCCAGGGGAGAGCCAGGCAGCAGCTCCTGACCTTTTCAGGCAGGGACATCACTTTTCAACATCCCAACAGTTCCCAGAAACCACACACTCATATTTCTATTACCAGCAGCCCAGAAGCTGCAAGGGCAGTCATGCTTTTCAGTGACCCTATTTTATTCACTACAACAGTGCTCACACACATTTGAAAAATGTACGATTCGTTCGGCCTGCAGACAGTCCCCGGGCTCCTGCAGCTCCCCTGCACCCTTGGCCCACCTTGCAGCCCCTAGAGTCTATGGCAGATTGGGATGTAGGGGTGTCCCAGAGCAGCAGGCCTCATAATTGCACCTTACATTGCTTCTCAATCAACACTAAGTCCCATTTAGGCCTTAGGTGCCTCACTAAGCACCGGAAACAGCAACTAACAGTGAGAGGTCTGGGGTAACAGCCAGAACTTACTGAGGGTCTCCTCTCTGCCAGCCACCTTGCAAAGCATTTTGTGTGAAGTAACTTGTTTAACCCCCCCACGATTCCATGGGACAGGTACTGTGCAGGAAACCCATTTCACAGATGAGGAAGTTGAGGCCCAGGGAGATTAAATGATTTTCCCAGTGTTACACATACTGGAGAAGCTGAGATACTGACCCAGGCAGTCTGGCTCTTGACAACTCCCTCCACCGATTCTCTAGAGGTGATGGATGGATGCCGCCCACGGGTGGTGGGGGGCAGCGAGGGGAGTAAGATCAGGATAGGTGTTACCAGCAGAAAGACCAGAACTGGCTAAGGCCGGGAGACAGCATTAAACATTCAGGGGATGGTGAGTGAGCTGATATGGCTGGAGAGCAGCCGAGCTCTGGAGAGAGAAGAGGCAAGTCAGTTCTCAGCCATCTGCCAGGGAAGGTCAAGGTGGGTGGTCTTTACCCTGGTCTGTGATTAGAGGAGGCACCTGCCAAGTTCTAAGGAGCACCTTTTGCTCTAGTGCTCTAGTGTCTAAATATACGTTAACTGTGTTCTTTATCATTTCTAGGAGACTATAAACATGTTTGAAAGGAACATCATTGACTTGGTGGGGCTCCTTATTGAAAATGTCCAAAGCCTATATCCTTTCTGTAGTAACCCCCCATGGGGAGGCATTAATGGGCCCCTGGGTTTTCCTGGCCTCCAGGGTAGCTAGAGGAGAGGCATCTGCATTTTTAACAAAATGCAGGGAAAGGTAAAGCTTCTTCGAAAACTAAGCAGGATGCAAATAAGTGGCTGCCATCTGCAGGGTCACGCCCCTGCTCCCCACCCCCACTGCCACCAGTGCCCTAAACACATTGGCAGAGATGGTAAAAAGTCAACACTTTATAATCATACTTTTTTTTTCTTTTTTTACCAGAAATACCTACTCCTGTTTGATTTACAGAAAGATCTACACCCCCACCAAGATGCTATTTCAGTTCATCATAGGATCCTATTTAGTGGGAATCTCCACCTTTGAAATTAGAGGAACATAAAACCTCGTTTTTCACCAGGGAAAAAACTCACCTTCAAAGGATGTAGATTTGGCAACCACTTAGAATGTTCAAATGATTGTTCTATGGGACCTGAGGGGGTTTCCCTGACCCTCAGAACAATGGCCTTGTTAGAGTGGGCTTGGATGCCCAGAGAGGACTGCTGTGTAGGGACCTGCAGTGGAAGTACAGTAGAGTCCCGGCATGTTTGTTCTCAAATGGGCGAAGATATCTCAGAATCCTCAGCTCTGGGGGGTGAAGCAACCTCCATGTTGACAACACTGACAAATTGTTTATAATGAGCTCTCAGGTTAAATGTTCAGGTTAGGAGCCAACGTTTGGAGCATGAACACACTTCTCCCCCTGAACTCGGGGCCCTGCCACATGGGGGGCAAACTGCTGTGCTCCACCCCAGCAGAAACCCCCTGGTCCTGCCTTCCTGGGGTGCACAGTCAGGCAGGGAGACAAAAGTTATGGAAGTGTCTGGCTAGGCTAAGGCCTGGAATCCTACTCACTGTGCCAATTGTCTAGCACTTAATCCTGTTCGTGATGCCAATTGTAAAGCTAGGCAACCATGCCAGTTGTTGGGCTCTTTTACTTGCTGGTAATCCTGCACCGACTGGGCCGATGGTTGAGCTAGGGGCTGGGTCTGTAGCTCCCAGACCCCTCAAGCTCATTCAGACTGGGTCACAAACCCTCCACATGCCAGGCTGGGTCACCAGACCCCTTCACGCAGGTCTATAAGCTAGGCAACTGGCCACATGGTACTTGGAAGCTACAGGTCTGGAAAAACATGCAAGCGCAGGGCAGGCACCCGAGGCAGTAAAACACCAGCCAAAGTGGCGCCGCCTTGCAGGGCACTTACTCCACCCACACAATGTTTACGGAACCACCCCTATCCGGCTCCAAGGTGCAGGGAGCCTGACCAAATTGTTCCATTTTCCCAACAGAGGTAATAAGTGGTACCTTTGTACAGGGTGCATAGCAGCCAACCCCAGGCCAGGGCCAGGAGCCTCCCTGAGGGAGGGTCCACTAAGTGAGGACCTAAGGGTGGCCAGAGGGACCAGGTGGAAGGGTAGGGAGAACATTCCTGGCAGAGAAGGTAGCCTGTGCAAAGGCCCTGAGGACAGGCCAGAGAAATCCGGCTCCAAGAGGAGGTCTTTAGGCCAAGTTAGAAGCGGGAAGTTCCTGGGAGCTTTAAGCAGAGGTGGAGTTCCAGATACCTACACCTACTTCCACTGCTGTGGAGAAAAAGGGGACAGTCTACTGCAATGTCCAGTCGGGAAGCAGTGGTGATGGAGAGAAGTGGATGATGGAAGGACAAGTATCAGAGATGACCAGGTGTAGGGACAGGCGTGTGAAGGGAAGGGGAGAGAGGATGGCCCCAGTGTTTAGTGCTTGTGGGTGGATGGCTGTGAAGGCGATGATGCCACCTGGCATCTTAGAGTTCGCCGTTAAAGTCTGTTCTCCTCTAGTGGAACTGGCCCCTGGCGCTCGGAATGCTGTTGAGAGGCCCCAGCCACAGGTTAGGGATGCGTGGGCCTGCTACACCCCTGGCCTTTTCTTAACTCACCGCTGCACGATGGCGCAGTGCAGGGACCTGGAGAATCACTACCACGAGAAGCTCCTGGAGATCTCCATCAACACCCTCGAGAAGATCGCCAAGGGCGAGCTCGAAGAGGACCTGCCTGACGACGTGCGCGCGGTGAGTGCATGGGGGCGGGGCTTGGTGAGCGCGGGGGGCGGGCTCGGTGAGTGCAGGGGGCGGGGCTCGGTGAGCGCGGGGGCGGGACGTGCAAGGGAGCCAGACGGAGCTGTCGCTGAGGCTCCTGTGAGCCTGACAACCTCCCGGAGCCTGGATTTCCTCATCTGCAAAAGGGCAGAAGAACCCGCTTTGCAGGGGTGTTGGCAGGTGAAATAGGCTGACAAATATAGCACCTGGCGGGGCACCCAGCAGGGCCCAATTAAAGAGGAGCTCATGATGATTAGATGGTTTCAACTTTCCAACAGGTTGGTTTCCAAAAGGTCAATTCTGTGGAGGCTTCTGGCGCTTTCTGAGAGAGGCAGTTACAAATAGAGGTTAAGGTCTGAGAGATCCCCTGAAGGTCTTCTTAACCTTAGAGTCTCTGTAATGAGAAGTACTACAGGGGTGTTGAAACCACTCCCAAGCACCATTTCTTTTTTTGTTTGTTTGTTTTTGTTTTTGTTTTTTGTGACCGGTAAGGGGATTGCAACCCTTGGCTTGGTGTTGCCCGCACCACGCTCAGCCAGTGAGCGCACCGGCCATCCCTATATAGGATCCGAACCCGCAGCGGGAGTGCCGCTGCACTCCCAGCACCGCACTCTCCCGAGTGAGCCATGGGGTCGGCCCCCAAGCACCATTTCTGACCCAGCATGAGGCCGTGCCAGTTTCCACCAGCGCACTCAGTGATGAACTGTCATGGAATCAGCGGGGTCAGCCCGGGGCTCCCGGCTCTGTCCTTGGGTCTCCTGCGTTGGGGTCCAGCAGGAGTGTGTGTATGTCTCTGGGCAGGGGTGCAGGCATTGAGGGGGGGCCCAGACCCAGACACTTTCTTGCCAGGGGCCTGCTTTCATTCATGCATCATTCATTCCACTGCCGATTCCTCAGTTTCTCTCCATGTCCATGTTACCCCCTATTCAAGCCATCACCGTCCTTGCCTGGATGCTGGCCTCCCTACTGCTCTCCTACAGGCTTGTTCTCCATGGGCAGCCAGAGGCCACCTCTGAAAACCCAAGCCACATCATTGCATTTCTGCACAGCACCCTCCAATGGCTGCCTGTGACTCTTTCCTGTAGTCCACCAGACCCTGGCAGTTGGGCCTGCCTGCCTCTGCGGCCCCTCCACCCCTCCCTCCTGATGCTCACCACCCCAGCATCTGAGCTGTTCTCTAATCTCCCAGGCTTGCTCCCTGCAGCTGATAGTCCATCTGGCAGACGTGCTGTTCCCTCAGGTCTCCATGTGCCTGGCTCATCCTTGTCATTTAGATCTCCACTAAAATGTCAGCTTCTTGAGAGGCCTTCCCTCAACACCTTCCTGAAAAACCATTGTCTCTATCACACCCCATTTATCAGGTCAGAGCCTTATCACAATTTCTTTTTTTATATTTTAATTTTTATTGAATCAAAATTGATTATACATACTTTTGGGTTTCAACATTGAAATATGTGGATCAAATCAATATTACTAGCATATATATTGTTACAAATCATAATTATTCTTCATGCCCCTTGTCCAATCCCTCCTCATCCCCCTTTCTCTCCCCTCTCCCCCCTCTAATCACCCTAGATTTTTTCTCTCCCTCTGAAAGAATAATGGTTACTCTGTTGATTTGCTGCCCAAATGATCTATCCAATGCTGAGAGGCGTGATCAGGTCCCCCAGCACTATCACAGAGCAGATGTCTCTTCCATCACTATGAAATGGGCTCTGTGGAGACCGACATCCTACTCCTTTCTTTATCTCTGCTGGTGACTCTCCTTGTGTCAACTCACTCCAGTGGCTGGCGGACCATCTGTGTGGTGGTTGTGACATCTAGCTACCTTCACAGCAGCCATGGTTATCGAGTCTCTCAGATGCAGAACCTGGGCTGTTAACAGCAGAGCCACACTGTGCCCCTTGCTGTAGACAAGTGGGCGGGCATTCTGGGTGTGCTCATGGCCCCAGCCACTGGTCATGGGGCTCTCCCCTTGAGCTAAGGGGCTGCCTTGGGCTCACTGGCAGACTGGTATGGTGTACTGCCCTCGAGGCCTCATAGGGGACAGCCAGCTATGCCCACTGGAGACCCTTCCCTCCATGGACCAGTGGGAGCTTCTATCCTCTTGGGAAGGTCCGAAGTTGCAGCAAGAGACATCGTCAGGACATGACACTGTTGCCTAAGTCTCTTTACATTTAAGCAACAAAACGTGGCCTATTGTCCTCAGGGGAAAAAAAGCATGCCCTGCCTGTAAGAAGTAATAACAAGTATGTGACATTTACTGGGGGCCAGCCTTCTGAGAAGCACTGGACAAATATTTGCTCTTTGGGGATCAGAACCCTTGATCTTGATGTTACCAACAGCGCACTCTAACCAACTGAGCTAATCAGCCAGCCCCCAACTCTTTTAATCTTCATATCGACATGATAAAGTAGGTACCATTAAGATTCCCTTTTGCAGATGAGAAAACTGAGGCACAGAGATTAATCTGCTGAAGGACACACAGCTTATAAGTGATAAGAGTTGTGACTTGAACCCAGGCAGTTTGACTTAAAGCCTTTGATGAAATGTCTACTAATCCTATAGCAAGATGGGGGTATTCGGAGGAGGGAATAGGGCCTTGTGTAAAAAAAATCTTGGCTTCTATAATCTAATTCTCAATAAGCTCATCATGATAGAAAGTCACACTGATGAGGATACCTCTAAAACTCTTCTCAAACAGTTGAGTGATTATCAGATCATGCCATATTTAGGCTCGCAGTGAGGCAGGACCCCTGAGTGGCACTGGCCTGGGTAGCAGGCAGTCGGGAGGTCCCATGTGTCCTTGGGTGCTCTGAACATCCATGTAGGTGTCCAGCTGTGAGGGCAGGGCAAGTGCTCAGGCCCTGGCTGTGGGGAGGACTTTGAAGTCCCCAGAGAGTCTGCCCAAGTGACAGTGGGTCTGACCCAGGCCAGCAGTCCGTGGATAGGGTGACTGTGATGAGGTTCTGGCTGGGACCAGGAGGCTCCCCCTCAACATAAGTCCCTGCCCCATTAGGCTGAGGGGCCCGCAGGGTTGTTGGGTACCCTGGGTGGGTGGGACAGAATGATCTGTTCCCAATGCCAGGGGGTAGCAAATCCTCAAGCCACCAGCATGGTGGTGGTCCTGGGAGGGGCACCAGCTGTGCCCTTCTCAAAAGCCCCCCACAAGTTGCTTTGAGGGCCGGCCTGTGGCTCACTTGGGAGAGTGTGGTGCTAGTAACACCAAGGCCACAGGTTTGGATCCCTATATAGGGATGGCCGGTTAGCTCACTGGCTGAGCGTGGTGCTGACAACACCAAGTCAAGGGTTAGGATTCCCTTACCGGTCATCTTTTTCTAAAAAAAAGAAAAAAAGAAGTTGCTTTGAAAGAAATGTGACTTTACAGCTGCAAGAGCCACCTCTGTGAAGTCCTTTGAGGACCAGAGAACAGGGTGGGACAGCTAGGGAGGCAGGAGCAGCCGTTGCTCCTCAAGGGCTTTGTACAGTCCCTCCTTCCACCTAGTGCTTTCAAACTGAAGGAATCCAGAATATTCTACCTGTAAGTACCATCCTAAGAGGGAAAACTGAAGTAGCCACCACTCTAGGCCACCTGAAGTCCAGAGACAACTTGCAACTGCATTTTTATATAATTTCTTTAAACCAGATCCCTTTTGTTTGTATTTTACAAATGTCAGTTTTTCATAACCAATTCTACCTCATATGTTTCTATGCAAACTTCAGTTTCTCTTGCGTCTCACATCTTCCGAAGCTCTTTACTATATATTAAAATACTGAGGGGGATGATTTCTCTGCCTGGCTTAAGAGATCAGCAACAACCCACTTTTTAGAATGAAGAGTGAGAACCTTCTCACGACGGGTCGATGTCATGGTCGTGGCTATTTCTAAAATAACTGGGATGCCCACTCCTGAGCACGCTGCCCGAGGCTCATTGTGGGCATGTTTTACATATCTTTGAACCCTTCCCAGAGGCTGGCCTGAGACCTTGTACACACAGAGAAAGAACCTAATAACTTCTTGTCATTCCTCCCATGTGACTGTGTTAACTGGTCCCCTAGATACCCCATTCCACATATCAGCGAACCTGGCTTTTCCCACATGGGATTCTGTGGAAAAGCAGCATCCCACAAGACATTAACAGGCATTAGTCTGGAAAGGAGTCTGTGGTGGAATAAATTGGAAAACCAAGGGAGACAAAGTTTAAAAGGTTTATTTTCCACAGGACTTTGCAGAACCTCCAGAATACTTCGTGCCCTATGAATCTTCGGAAGGGTCCAGGGGTGTGCCAGCTTTCCCAAATGTATTTAACCAAAGAATACTCTTTTTTGCAGAAATATTAACTTCTCAAGATTCTACAGAACATATTTTAGACACCATTAAGTTAACTGCTACTATAGAAAAGAAAAAAGAAAAAGAAAAACAAGTATACCTTCCACTTGCAGTTCCCTTTACTATATAGAAAGTCTAGGTCCTCTGCCGTCCTTGGCATCACAAAGTACCTCCGCTTCAAAGCAGAAGCAGCTGCTTCCTGAGTGCTTCAGCGGCCTTCCTCTGCTTGGTTTTCAAGCATTCCAGGCACATAACAGCCACAGTGTCAATACCTAGAACCAGCCAGGCCTATTCGAGGGTGTTTTTAACAGCTTTTTACAAGGCAGCAAACAAGGTCCGGAACAAGAGAAGGCCAGAGGAGACCCCAAATGGAATCCAAGGTTTGATTTTGTTGACGTAAGAGGTAGTGGGGAGACAACTGTGGGAGAACACCCTCAGTTTGCAGGACCCACTGTCTCAAAACCCTCAGCCGGCCTCACACTTCCCACCGGCTGGCGGAGGTTGTGGGCAAGTCAGATGTGACAGCAACTGAGAGCAGCACTGTGAGAACAGATGTCCTGTGTGAGGTCACCCCTGGGCAGCCATCTGCCTTCTCCCTGGAGAAAACATGCTCCCAGCAAGGACTGCAAAGTGACACCCTGGTTGGCCATTTCTCCGTAACACCTGCCACTGCTCAGGCCAGGGAGGCAGTTGTCAGCTGAGGATAAGCTGGCACAAAGTGCACTTGTCACACAGGTGGGCCCTCCACTGGGTGCGGCCTGCACAGCAGGGGACTCTAACATGCAGGTGTTCCTTTTCTATTCAGCTCTCTGACTCTGTGCTCAGTGTGTAATGACACACATTCTCATAGGGTCCTTTTCACCCATCCACCAGCTTTTTGTTGACAAAGACACGATTGTTAATGCTGTCGGGGCATCACATGACATCCACCTGCTGAAGATTGACAACCGAGAAGATGAGCTGGTGACCAGGATCAACTCTTGGTGTACACATTTAGTAGACAAGGTGAGTAATGGCTAACCCACTCTAGCAGGCTGTACCACTTTTTCTCAGCCAGAGAGAACATGGAAATCTCCCCTAGGTAGAGTACACTATTTTCAATAAGGAATGAAATGAAGAAAATTAGGGACTGTAGACTGCACACTGACGACAATGTTGCCCAGAGACAATAAAACCTACACGCTTCATCGTTTTTCTAACTCCTACCCCAAATATATAGAGAACAGCAGAACACAGGGAGGCTCTGAAGTGGATGAGGGATGTACACTATGCAGATTTCAAAGAACTATTTTCCTTTCCCTCAAACTGGAGTCAGTAAAAGATACTATCCAATTATCTGATCTAAAGATGTTGGGCTTTGGTTTCCCTCCTCAGATCCACAACGATGAGATCATGAGGAACCGCAAGCGGGTGAAGGAGATCAGTCAATACATCGACCACATACAGAGCGAACTGGACAATCTGGAATGTGGCGATATCATTGATTAGTGTGGATAAGCCACAGCACCCCCTTCACAGCACAGCACAGCCCACCAGGAGGACGGTGCATACACACCTCCCGCCGCCTAGGACAGCTACTGGGAGTTTCTCAGCCCCCCACCCCCCTAACACTACTCTTCCCCCACCCCTGGAAACACTTCCAAATGTACAGAAAAATAAAGGACTTATGTTACCTTTCCCCTATTCACCAAAAAAAAAAAAAAAATCAGAATTCATGTTCATATATGAACAGGAGAAAAAGATTGAGATGGTCCTTGGCCAGTCTACGAGAACAGTCTACAAGAGGGGCCAGCCATTGACGAGACTCCTGGCTGTGGCATAACGTCAGCTGTGCCCTGAGCAGGCTGCCACCACAGGCAAAGGGAGCCAAGGGGGGCTGAGCCTTCTCTCCTCTGGGTGCTGAGGAGCAGGGAAGCAGGAGGAGACATGGCTCCCACCACAGCGCTGGCTGCAGCTTATGCAAGCTGTCACAGCCTGGCTGCAGGGACCTGAGGATGGTCCAGAAGTGAACAGTGCAGGCTGGGCATCCCAGCTCCACCACATCACCTCTGCAGCCTGGGCTTCATCTGTGACAGTACCTGTTCAGAGTGCCCTTGAGGGGTTCAGGGGACAGGGTGTGAGAAGCGTGGAGAGGCACCCAGCATGTGGTCAGTGCCCGGTACCTGGGGGCGATGACATTTTGTACTCAGGCATGTGAGGCCACGGGGCTCAGAAAGCCTTTACTGCCCAAGACCCACTCTCTCCCTACTGCCCTTTCACTGGGCCTGGCACCAGAAAGCAGCACCTGCCTCCTAGGACCGTGGAGGTGGCCACATCAAGAGGATTCTCAGGACTCCCATGTGGGAAATGAGTAGAAACTTGCATGTCAGGTGACCTTTCCAGGCCTGCTCGGGCTTTTAACACAGAAACAATTTATATTTTCTAATTTCAAGAGTAAATCATTCTTTCTAGAACAGTAAGAACAAATAGAAACAACCAGGTTACTCCTACAAGGACTCACTTGCAAAAAATAGTTTTGATTAAAAACCAGGAAAAAAAAGCCTCAGGCTAAGGGCTGAAGAACACAAATACAGTTGTCTGTTGATGACATAACTGTTTCCCCAGCGTGAGGTTCCCAACCATAGGAAGCAGATATCAAGATGTGCCATAGGAGATAAGCCGTTTGACCTTGGTGACACCTAGAGAAACAAGAAGAATGGAGAAAAGCGGAGGCGCACATGAAAACAGAGCTTCACATATTTCCAGGATGGAGAAATATTTAATAAAATCAGGGTCAAGAGAAAGTCACTGGTACAGCTTGTCCCCCTCATTCGCTGCTGGCCTGGCCAGTGGCACCTGGGTTGGAATCAGGCTGAACTCTGGACAACCGCACTGTGTCTCGGGGGCTTCTTGGCATCGCTGAGCAAGGCTGAGCTCCACAGGCCAGGAAAGCTGTGGCTGTGCAGCCTCTGTCCTGCTGGGCATGCACTGCCCAGGCCTCACTCCTGCAGGAGCTTGTGCTTGACCGTGGTGCTTTCAGAGCAGAGGTGGACAAAAAGGGTGCCAGCAGCAGTGCGGGCCCGCAGCTCCTGCAGCTCGTAGTCGTGGGCCCACTCAATGTTGCCCCACTTCTGGATCTGAGGGGAGGGAAAGAAGCTGCTGGGCCAGTGGCCAGAGACTGGTTGCCTGCGGGCCAGAGCCACAGTCCATTCTAGTGGCTGGTCTGAGAGCAACAGGCTTCGATCTTTCCAAAACACATGAAACACACAGGAATGGGAGGGCAGCAGGTGAGAACACGTGGTAGACAGAACAGGTACCTGTGCTCTCTGGGGTGTGGATGGTCTGGGAGGGGTGCAGTCTAGGCCAAGGCTAGTGGCCACCCACTGCTGGGCAGGCTGAGCCCCAAAACCATACATGTGTCTCCTCAGAGGGGGCCTGACCCTTGGGCCATCCCTTCTCCCACACTTCTTGCTACCAGAAGGCCAGCATGCGACAGCCTGTAAACTGTCACCCTCTATAAGCTGCCTTGCCATGCAGGGTTGCAAGTGCCTCATGTGGGAGAATAAATAAATTGAGCAAGGCCACACAGCGGCTTTAGTTTTGACTCCAAGCGGAGCTGCAGCACCGCAGAGGCCTCTGATCTGTACACGGGGAGCAAGTTGCAGATTTTCTCTCTGCGACTCTAAAAACAAGGAGGAACTCCTGGACACACAGAGGCTGTCTGGACATCAGTGTGATTCCAACCTGATTCTGCTGGCTCCTCCCTGGCCAAGGGCCCAGGAGGCCTGGCCTGGCTGCCCCAGCTCATCCAAGAACTGAGACTCTACCACACCACACAAGCTGTCTGCATTTCCAGGCTGCCAGTCTCAATCTGGACAACTCTAATATGTCTCTGAAGAGCATTTTATACTTTCATTTTATATCATCACATTCATAATCCAGGTTATTACTCACTCTGTGGAGGACTGAAACCAAAGTTCAGACCTGGCTTTGGTCCCACAGTCAGAAGCAGAGCCCAGACCGGAAGCCAGGTTTCCACAACCCCCACAAGTCACCCCCTTCCCATGTCATTAATCGGTTCTGACAGCCAGAGAATAGCCAGTCTCCTTTGCTGTAGAGAAAGTTTTTTCCCTGGCATTTTCCAGAGCAGAAGACTAGAGAGACTTGGGAACTACTGACATTATAAAAAGGTTTTTATCATACTAGGAACTAACTCATAACAGCAATTAACCTGAGGCTGGAGGAATAACAACAGCAGCAAAGAGTGCCATAATTTTCGGAGTTGAAAAATGCAAACGACAGTGCAGCACAACCTTGATTCTGAGCCCACTAAATCAAAACCTGTGCACAAACAGCAGCTGCCTTCTGCTCTTCTGCCAGCCAGATGAAAAGTCAGGGAGTGAAGGCACAAACGAGTTCTCAGTGATCTCAGCAGGGTCTGTTCTGCGGTGCACATCAGGCCCAAACGGTCTTTATCTGCCCATGAACATCCACGTGCAGAGGGGGGCTGAGGAGCTGGGCCCTACAGTCACCCAGACTTGGCTTCAGACCCTGGCTGGAACATCTTCTGGAGGTGACCCTGTGCTTCAGTTTACTTCTTTGTAAAATGGGGATCACCACAGCCCCCACCTGACTAGGCTGTTGAGATGGTGAATGGAGTGCTGGGCATCGTGCTGGAATGCAGCGGTAGCACTTAGCATTGTTATTTTTTTTGATTATTTACAATGCTTTCATTGATCCTTAGTTTACATAAAATATTTCAGATGGGTTGGCCATCCCCTTGACCCCTACACTGGTGTGAATTAGGAAGGGCTGGGGCAGGGACCTGAGGTGCCTCACCTGGTACTCCTCCTCCAGGCGTGACAGCAGCACAGCCTGCTCTACCGTCAGGCGCAGGTCAATCAGACCCAAGGTCAGCACCATGGACTTGAGCTGGGCCACTACAAACTCAATCCCTGTGGGTACACAAGCCAAGTCAGGACCCCAAACAGGGCAGCTGCTACAACCCACCCCCTTGTGAGTCCCTGCACCCCCAGCAGAGAACAGGAGTGAGCGGTGCAAAGGCACCAGGAGGAGGAGAATGCCTTAGGGCCCATCTGGCATTCAAACCACTCTTCTGAATGAGCTCTCTGGTCTTCCTTAGGGATGATCATCCTTGGCTCTTCCCTGGTGGGCACGTGACCTGTACCTAGCCAATCAGAGCATCTGCCCCCACGTGCAACCCAGTGATTGGTTCACAGATGGGTTTGTGAGCCAAGAAAGGCCAATGAGACTTGAGCTTGAGACTTCTGCTGGAACAGTGTGTGCCTGGAGTGCTGAGTAAAAGGGTTAGCATTAGAGCCACCAGCCCCATGCTCAGAGCTACCCCTAGAGTGCTCTGGTGGCTCTCCACTCAGAGCGCCTAGGGAGGGGAGAATACAGGTTTCAGATACCCACGTGTATCACACCGAACCCCCAGGCCCACAGGAAGCTCCATGCACACCTTGTAGGGCCCACATATTGTAAGACGCCAGGTGGCTGACAAGCACCTCTCGAGTCTTGGCAGGGACGCTGGGTCCCATTATGCTGGTGGAGGAGCCAATCTCCACTCCGTATCTGAAAGGAAAAGGCTTTAGCATGTCCCTGTTGTGCCACGGCCCAAGAGCAGCGTAGCGTTTGACTGGAAACAATGACCAAACCTGCTGAGCGTGTGTGTTCCCCTTCAGGGCACATGGACAAGGAGCTAATCTTAGGGACTCTGGAAGGAACTGCCACTGTGAACACTGGCCTCCTGACCTAGTTTTCTGTCCCCCAAGAGCAAACCTGGAGGACTAAGAAACTGCCCTGAATGAAGGCATGGTTGATGAGTCACGTGAGCAGGGGCTCAGTTACATGCAGCTTCCTAAAATGCTAATTCATTTGCCTGAATCTCCATCAAAAGTGTGAGCTACATGGGCCGGCCCAGTGGCGCACTGCTACAGTGCGCCGCTTGGGAGCGTGGCGGCGCTCCCGCCGAGGGTTCGGATCCCACATACAGACCGGTTCCCGCTCACTGGCTGAGCGAGGTGCGGGCGCAACACCGAGGGTTGTGATCCCGTTGCCGGTCCCGGTCCGGTACGGGCACGACACTGAGGGTTGCGATCCGTTGCCGGTCACGAAAAAAAGACAAAAAGGAAAAAAAAAAAAAAGTGTGAGCTACCTACTTTTTAAAGCTTCTAAAAAAGTTTTTCACATTTGAGGCCATAAAAGATTTCTTTTAAATGAAATGTTTTCCTTAAAACAATGTTTGTATAGGTCTATATAATCCATTTCTTCAAACATTTATCAAGCCTCTACAATATACAAGACATTGTTTTGGTCTGTGATCTATGGGACACAAGCTGGCTTCAAAGAGAAGATACATTTTCAAGAACAATCATAACTACAGAAAACACAGGAAAAATATAATGGGGTAAAAACAATTTTTGCAATTTTCTTTCATAAATCACTGATATTTTCTATTATTTAAAAAATATTCTTGCTGAAATTTCTAATAGTACAAATTGAACATAGAAAATGGCCTAGTTTTTCTGTAAACTATTAAGGACACGATATCTCAACTGCCACAAAAACCTGACAATTTTATACCATAGCAAAGATCTCCAGACACCTTAATTATTGCTGTATTTCATTAGAATCCAAACTGACATTGTATCTTCATATTTCTCATACAGTATTATAGTCGTTACATTTTATTTGATCCTGAGAGCACTGGCCATGCTTTTTTCTTTAAAACCTGAAGATGTGAGCACAATGTAAGCACTCAGGAAACATGTAGCAAATAAATGGGACAGAATGTACTCCATCCCAACCCAAGGGGAAAAAAAGGAAAGAAGCCAACCCAAATAAAAGATTAATTAATTAATTAATAGATGAGATGGATTGATGGATGTCACTTTTGTGAAAAATGCTATAGCAAAAATACTCCTTATAAGCTTACAAAATACTGTGGTCAAGGTTGTATTATGAAAGCCAGTCCTTCCAAATTTCCCTTAGAATAAAATAAAATTGAATTTATTTTGCCACCACATTTGTAGTCCGTTCAGTGTCTCAAAAGAGTCTTCCGGTTAAGGAAACATATTGGGAATCATCAGTTCCTAGAAGCTACACATCCATAGGACACTACCTATAATTTTTCAGGAAGCTATCCAGGCTTTTCTCCATGTGAGTACATAGCACACATGCTGTTCTGTGATTTTATTTAATAGCACAGTAATTGTGATGAAGATAAAAATAACTGCCAAATTTGAGCCTTTACTGTTGCTAAGCAGGATGCTAAGCACTTTCCATACATCCATTCATTTACTCCTTCCAGCACCCTGAGAGGTAAGGATTATTAACCCCATTTACAGACAAGGAAACTGAAGCTCAGAGACATCAACTCATTAGCCCAAAGTCACACAGCTAATAATGGAAGATCTGGGACTCAATCCAATACTGCTGCACTGACCCGCAGGAGGAGGGTAGCCTAGGAATGCTGGTGCTTTCCTAAGGACACAGAGCTGCCCCTACACTCATCACAGTGTGTACTGATAGCAGGTGCTCAGTGCATGGTGGCTGAAATGAATTTGAGGAGCATTTTTTCCAACATCTGAGGGGAGTCAAATCCCAAGGGTGCTCTGAATTCAGAGAGCTGACTGGCTTAGGGCTTTGGTTGTTCAGAGGGGTCCCTTGACCCCAACATCCTGCCCAACACTGCCCAGTCAATGTTTTCTGCAGGGCTGTGCATCTTACCTTTTCTCGGCCCATTCTATGATTGGATCCCACTCATTCTTTTGAAGTTCCACTAATGTCTCTGGCTCTTCCACCCTGTAGCTAATTTATTGTAAAAATCAACCAAAAAAACTTCATTAATAAAAAAATGCAATTCCTTTATTCAGTGACCGAAAAGGGAAAACACAAAAGGCAAAGGCAAACACTTCACCACCATCCCAGCCCCACAAGCCTTTTGTCCTAAAGCAGTGGCCCGGGGGCCAGCAGCCTCAGCATTACCCGGGAACTTGTTAGAAATACACATTCTTAGGCCACATCCCACACCTATATAAATCAGAGCCTCTGGAGGTAGGGCCCAGAGATCTGTGTTTTAACATACTTTCCAGGGGACTCTAGGCTTGAGTTTGAGGACCACTGCCCTAAATTCCCCCCAATATTTGACAGATCCAAGCTTGCAGCACTGTGTCAGTGCCGTTCTAAAGCAGATCCAGTCAAATACCTGCACCCCCGTATCCATACCCACTGGATGCTAGGATGCTGAGTGTGAATGCTGTGCCAGAAGCTCAGTCATTGCACTCCTACCCTCACCGCTTCCAAGAGACAGTGCCCCTGGCCACAGACAAAATTGCCTGTTTACTCCTCAGGAGCCCAACCCACTTCTTGGCTATACATGCAGCTGCTAGCTTGGACACCTGACCTGAGGGGACCAACCTAGAGGCCAGACTGTGCCACTTGTTTTGACCAAGAGACACAGGGACAAGTCAGTTGAGGGGAACTGAGCTGCAAGGTTTCATGGGACAGAAACCCAGGTGGGCACCATGGAAAGCCACCGTCTGGTGTAAGCAGAGGGCAGAAGAGAGGTCATGAGCATGCAGGAAAAGCTGGGCTGCTGGGAGGAGCAGACAAGTGGATGGACTTTCCTCCCCGCCTTCCTCCACTCCTGTGTCATCTGTGAGATGACTCAGGATCTAGAACACTCTTGAGGCAACAGGCATGGTGCTGCTCAAACACTTCAGCTGTTTCCTTAACTTCCCTTCACTATCACTGACCAATTAGCCAAAGAGCACAGACATGAAAGGAGAATCCAGAACTGGAGGAGGCCAGTTCCTAAATATCAACATCTGTAATGACAAGGATGCCTCGGTGAGAATGTGCCAGTGGAGGAAGTACAGGGTATGAGGCCCCGATGGGGTTTGGCAAGTGACCCCTGTGGTCCTGGAGCCTGCAAGAGCTGATATCAGCACCCCTTTCCCCAGCCCACCCCAGTCCAAGGGGCAGCTGCTGGGCTGGAGAAGAAGAGAACCCAGTGCTCTGACACTGCTGCAGCCTGAGAAGTCGTCCTCCATGGGATCTGCAGAGCAACTGACTGCCCATGTAAGTAGGCTGCCTTCCCTTCCTGTGAGTTAATGGCAAAGGCTCTGCCTCTTCTTCCACCGATAACCATCTGGGCAAATGAGGCAAAATAGCCCAAGGGACTCACTCAGTCCAAGGGGAATGCCCATCTCAATGTCAATTACCAGATGGTGTCAGTGTCCAGAAACTTCACAGTTGCCCGGATTAGCTGATCCTTGTTTCTCTGTGTTGGATTGTCCAAGGATGTGTTGCACAATGTGGTCTGAATCAAAAGGCAGAAAGCACCCTGTCACCACCTGCTGGGCTCAGGCAAAAGCCCAGCTTTCCTGAGGACACTGCATCTAACACACAGCAACAGGGTGAGACCCAGACAACACCACACCGAAGCCCTTGACCCAGGGTGTCTTCACAACTACAGGAGCACACTACTGAGAGTGCACTACATCCAGCTCCATGTGAAATGCTGTGCGCACATGCATGCGGGGCTCATGGGAGTCTCACCATAGTCCTAGGATTACTGAACTTCCCCAGAGTCTCATACTTTTTACTACCAGGCTCTGCCATGTTTAATTTAATCTTCACAATAACACTTTAGAGTAGGTGCTACTATTACACCCATCTCAGAGATGTGGAAACTGAGGCCCAGAGAGGTTCAATACATCATCAAATTACAGAAATAAGACAGGTAAACAGTAATAGAACTCGAATCTGACTGAAAAGTTTTTACCATCTGGCTCCCTTAACACCTAAGCAAGGAAACAAATCATCCATACTGGGCTCAGGATTCTTTTTCCAGATTTGCCTTGTCAGTAATGGTTGCATAGGTTACTCTAGCTATTAACTTGTAAGATAGTCACTCAAATTTCATCAGATAGTCAAGGGGCAGGCCGGCACCTCAGCAGGCTGTGATGTTGAAAGGAAGCCCACCTGGGTCTGTGCATCAAGGTTGAGTGCAGCAACAACCACGATGACAGCAACTAAGTCCTGTATTGACTGAGTGCCCACCCTGTGGCGGACCACACTAAGGGCTTTCTGTGCACCATCTCACCTAATCCTGACCACAGTTCCCTAAGGTGCATTCTATTTTCACTCACTTTTTACAGATGGGTCACACAGGGCCGAGAAAGGGGCAGCAACTCACCCAAGGTTACAGGCTGGGAGCCGCAGAGGCTGGACCTGAAGAGTCCTTCCTTCCCCTTCCTTCCCCCGTCTGCCCAAGAGCCGCAGTGAGCCACCTCTGTGTGGATGAGGAGGTGGACTCTGTGGGGAGTCTTCCCCACCTCACCCATCTGCCTCCACTGCTCCTGCATTCAACCAACACTTACTGAGTGCCAACTGAACTTCCTGCTAGGGGCTGTCTAGACACTGGTGAGTAAAAGAGACAGGGAGCTACCTGATGCTTAGCAGGCAGCGGAGGAGACAGATAATAAACGTGCAAACATAAAACAGACAATTACAAACTAAGTGCTGACAAAACACGTGGCCAGCTGCTGTAATAGAAAATAAGAAAGCCAGGCAGTCAGCAAAGGCAACATCTGTCCTGAGACCAGAGGCAGAACCGGCCATCCAGTATGGTATTCCTGGCAGAGGAAAAAGCAGGTGGCCAGGCCAGATGGTCAAGAGTTTGGCACACTCACTGACTGAGAGGAGGCGAGTGGGGCTGGAGCCCACCCCCAGGGCCTTGTCAGAATTTGGAAAGGATTCTAAATTTTTGCCAAGTACTCTAGGAAGCCCGGCTGGGTATCAGGGTGTAGGTCTGCACTGTGAACTTGTTACCAGATGCATGGTGTAGAACTTGATGGTATCCTGCTGGGAGTCCCATTCAGTGGCCACCGCGATGGCCAGGGCCTCGCTGGGGACGGTAAAGAGCTTGGCTTGGGGAGTTTTCAACTTCCTGTGGTCGAGGTTTATCTCAAAGCCTCCTTGAAAGATCAAATGAAAAACTCTCAGGGATTGTTAAGTGGAATCGAGTGACCATTCCTATATTTAGCCACTTGAATTGGTGCAAAGACAACTCTGAGTCCCTCACAGAAACATGTCTGACAAAAGTGGGAAGGCTAATCTCACCAGTGAAGTGGCTGGAGATGAAAAATGTTTCCAAGCATTCACAAAAAAAAAAAAACAAAAAACAGGCAGTCAAAATTTCAGACACTTACCTTCACCCTGTGTGATGCTGACATTCTGATAAAACCTCTTCCTTTCTGTAAGAAAGATTTTTCAAACAGGCAGTTTAAAATAATGTTGAGACAGTGGGTGCAGGAAGTAACAAGACCAGCTTATATCATTACTGCTAATGCTGACTGATTGTCTTGATTTTCCTATCACCATTCGAGGTCTGCCTTTCTCTACATTGTATAATCAACAGCGTCTGATTAAAGCTGGGCAGGAGAGCAGCTGATCTCCAGGGGTGAGGGAGGAACAGGACATGCTGGCCATGCCTCCACCAATCCCCAAGCCCAGGGACATGTCTGATCAGGCGCATCACAGAACTGCAGACTGTGTGACCTGACATGATTTCCCAGCACCTCCTGCTTTAACATGTAAGCATGCTCCCTCATGCCACCCCTATCACCAGTGCCACCCCCATGCCAGCACAATGTACCCATATCTAAAGTTGGTGTCTGAACCAGATAAGGCCAGAGACCCATTTCAAGCAAGACTCTGATGCCTTTAAGAAGGGGTGTAGGTGCGTGTGCATGTGCGTATGTGGTGAGCAGGCAGGCCGCAGACCTCCCAGGAGCATTTCCATCCCTCTTTCCAATTAATTAACCTAATTAACCAGCTTGCTGTTTATTCAATGGAACTCCAAACATTTCCTTTAAGAGGGGAAAAATCTGTGTCCCGTGTTTTCTTTTGAAAATAACTTGAATAAAATCTTACATGAAACCGTAAACATATTCTCTTCTTTTATCCTGGAGGGATTAAAAGCCAATAGCACTTCTTAAGGAATTATGCAAATTCCTTCAACTAATAAAGAACAAATAGGTCACACTTTGGAAGCTATAAACTGTAACTCAAGTCCCTCACATCTGTGACAAATACAAACCTTCACTCATTCATTCGTTCATTGTTTCACACATTCATTGGGTAGTAAAACCCTTCAGACTCTAACTGAAGTTACTTATTGGAAATAATGACTCAGCACATGGAGGAAAAGGAGATTCATTAAATAGTTTGATCTTAAAAAACAAAAAACAAAAAAACCCTAAGCTTAAGTTAAAATTTCATTTATTCAAATATACTATGAAATTTCAGGAGAACTTGGTGTATCTGCACAGAGCAGGGAAGGGTAACAGAGAGACAGCATCTAGTTTTATTCCAAATATATTATTTTTATGTTTTCCACATCACATCAGTTTTCTCCATAAATCACATTTGCTATCATTCATACTTAAAGATGGAGGGCCCAAAATTGCACTCCATAGTTGCACTTACTAAACTAAGGCCCAAATGGTTTTCTCACAAAAATATTTGTTTGTCTACCATATGCCAGGCACTGTTCTAGGCACTTGGGATACAACAGTGAAAAAAACACACAAACATTTCTGTTTTCATGGAGTTTAAATATTTTTGGAAAGAAGCAATCAGATCTGACCACCAAGATGATGCTGTCTTATGGCATGGTTTTACCACCTTCCTCTGAAATCATAACACTGATTCAAACATTCAACACCAAAATAAGAGGTTTATACCCCCCTCATACTTTTTAATTTCCCTACTTTACATGCTGTCCTAGTCATGTTCAAACAGCAGGTTAGACATGGGTCTGGAGGCGTCCTTTCCTCTCTCTGGTCTGGACCTAAGTATCTAGACTACATCCATTGGGTTTTCCAATGCAGAAGCTGGGCAGCATGTCTACAAGCCAGGCCCTGCAAGAAGCTGAGAAAATCTCTAAGAGCTCTGACTCAGTGTTGGGGGAAGGGTCTTCCCACATCAGCAGGAAGTGCCAGCAGAGGACAACGAGGTGACGGGCCTGGTGAGTGCTCTAACACATGGCCCAACCAGAGAGCTGGGGCAGAAGAACCGACTTGGGGCAGAAACTGACAGCCCAGGGCTGAACCTTCACAACTACTGGGACAGCTGGGTTTCCTTCGAGGGAAATCCTTTTTTGTGCTTTGCTGGCCAGGCCCACTTCTGTATCTGAATAAGAAAAAACTAGAAGGGACTGGGATGAATGAAGGGGCAGAGAACGAACCACTAAAATTGCTCAAAACAGGTATGCAGAAAAATAGACAGGAGAAGGACAAAAGGAGCCCAGGGGCTGTCAGGCCTCAGATTAGATATGTGGGGGCATGTTTTAGACAGGGGCTCTCCTGAAGGAAGGGTTGACACCTAGACGGGAAACTTCAGTCTTAGAAGAAACTTTGGGGCCGGCCCAGTGGCGCACTCAGTAGAGTGCGGCGCTTGGGAGCGCGACAGCGCTCCTGCCGAGGGTTCGGATCCCATATAGAGACCGGTCTACTCACTGGTTGAGTGCGGTGCGGGCGCGACACTGAGCGTTGCGATCCCGTTGATGGTCGCAGTACGGGCGCGACACCGAGGGTTGCGATCCCGTTACCGGTCACGAAAAAAGACAAAAAGGAAAAAAAAAAAAAGAAGAAACTTTGGTGACTACTGATCATGTTCCAGCATGTGTGATAAGTCCTGGGGATGGGATGTGCATAAAGCTCTTCTCTGCCCTCGAGGCACTTACTGTCTAGTGGGAAGACAGACACTAAGCCAGTTACTAAACGATAGAGTGACATCTGCAGTGGTGAAAGCACACGGATGATGGAAACACATAGTCGCATTTCATATGCGACCTGAAGAAGAGGCAGAAATCACCAAATTTTATCAACTGATTTGTTTTTTCTTTTGGGGGGCATTAGGGGTGGGTCGAAGTAGTTTCCAGAAGAAGAAACAGCTTACATGAAGGACCAGGGCTTCCAGAGAGCGGAATTTTGGAGAACTAGAAAGACATTCAGAAGGAGAAGGCTGTACCTATCTAGCAAAGAACGGTTAGAGATGCTGGGCGGGAGTGGGCGGGGGACGGGTAAGGGCCAGAGCTGCGGGACTGGGGGACATGTGGGTCACAGTAAGGAGAGCAAGGGGAGCTAAGTAAGGGGTTCACATAGGCAAACAAGAACATGGTCTGGGCAATTCATTGAGTGGGATCCATGTCCCCAATAACGTCAAAGACAAGAGGTTCTTTGCTTGGGCCCTCATATTCTCAATGGATACAGAGCCAGCCAACATCAAGGGGAACACTATCTTTTTTTTTTTTTTTTTTTTTTTTTTTTTT